CCTAGGCAACTGGACAAAAACAGGTTATTTCAAAATCATTGCATTTGGCTCACTTACCACAGTGAGGTTATTTCAAAATCATTGCATTTGGCTCACTTACCACAGTGAGGAAAAAAACAACAAAGGCAGAACTAGTGCATCCTACACTTACCGTACATGGAGCCAAAATTTGTTATTTGCTTTTCCTTGATAAGGGGCTGATCCTCTTGCTGGTGTGCAGCATGTCACATCTGTTAAAAAAAGAGCCCAGATAACACAAACTTCACGGGACCATAGAATTTCTTTGTGTAAAGCAGATTTCATTTTAAGCATTGAAGAGGATAAGAACGAAAAAGGGAGAGGACTTCTTCCTTACAAATCGGCTCAATTGCTATAACTTTGTGTCACCTATTTTTAGTCATTATGAACACATGCACCGCTGCCAACCTTTGGGAGTTGTAAAAAAAGAGAAACCTTGTTTCTAGCATCTGCGCTTGTTGCTATTTTTGGGGTCAAAAAGTTGCCACCAAAAAATGGTGAAAGTTGCCATTAATTTTCAAGCTTTCAACTCGGTGGTGACATATATAGCAATATTATTATGTTGATAGAGGTTACTTAATTTTGTGCTCTATTTTAAGCATCCAGAATATGATTTGTAGCCGCACAGAGTGTAAAAATTTGAAAAATAAAGGTTTCACAACAGAATGAAATTAAAATTAGAACAGCACATAAACAACCACAAAAAATTAACAAATAAGGCCATGTGTCCACCTATCCGAAGATTGGCCATTTTAACCCTAAACGTGTGTAATTCAAGAAAGAGTACAGGATGTTACATGTAAATAAATAATGGAATCACACATAAGGGCCTGCCAGTGTCAGTATTCGGTTTTGGTGGAGACACCTTAACATAACACATATATTTTTTAAAAAAGTAGGAACAACATCAAATTAAATGACATTACGCTGTACAAAAAATAGAAAAACAACTCTTTAGAACAATAACAAGAAAAACAACACACCAACAAATTAAAACACAGCAAAGAGGTTAAATTAAAAGAGAAGCTGCGGTATATAAATAATATGTAATGTACATGTACTTATATTCTTCACATGAAAATAACAAATCAACGTTTCAACAAGTGAGAAAGAGACGAACTGAAATGGAAGTGAAAATAGACTTTCTTTCTAAAATAAGGAGGTTCGGTTTCTTTTTTTTTTCTTTTTTCTTCCCCAGTTTTTTAGGGTTCCCCCACCCCGATTTTTTCTTCCCTGGTTGCCTTGATAGCACAGATTCAAGGCTCAAAGTTGTAGCTGTTCATTTCTGATTGTTTTCTGCACTACAACTACAGTGGAAACCTGATATAACAGGGATGGTGGGAGTAGAGAAAATGTCCTGTTATACCCGTTCCCTGTTAAATCAGAAATGCAAGGAAAGTAAGCATTTGTGGACTAATCCGAATCCAGCTGTACTTATTCATGGGTCGTTTCCTTTGCCACAAGTACCCACGGACAGGGGTTTTGGCACCAACGTTCTCCTTGCCTCCTTAAACCACATCAGAAGAGCTTGTTCCACAGCATCTGCATTGGGTAGTCTCATCTTCTTTCGATCCAGAAGAAACTTTCTATTGGAGTATGCTGCCACTATCTTCTCTCTATCCTTGATAATGGTGTGAATCGACCCTCGTGGAAAGTCGAACTGACGACAAATCTCTGCCAGTGGAGCTTGCTTTTTGTCAACAGCCTGGATTATTCCACATTTTTTTGTCAATTGAAAGGCATTTTCTTTTGCGCTTGACATCGTTGGGGACAGTAGACACATTACGTGTGCGTGTTGCTAGATTTCGGGCTAGATCGAGGTCTGCAGCACACCGCAGCCCTCTCTCGCTTCACACGCTGCGTGTGCTTGCAGTGGCAGGCTGGCGTGGGCTTGCTCCATCACTGTGTTACTCTGTCTCTCTCTCTTACTTTTTACACTTTGTTAACGAGCCTTTGTCCCTGCTATAACCGATTGGGCTCTGATGGGGCCCTATTATTGCCAATAACTTTTAATAGAGACAAAGCGTAGGAAAAATCACCGGATCCATATATATGGTTTCCACTGTACTGAGGTTAACAAAGGCAAGTAACAACAGTCAAAAAGTGATAAATCATAGCTTCTTTTTGTTAACATAATCTGAAAATAAATTAAACAAACAGGATGTTCCCATTAGTTAGGGATAGCTTGCAGCTTCCCATCTCCTCCCACTCCCACAAAATAAATTAAGCCACTTCCTAAAAGAAGGTACTATTGAAATTTCCGTCTGGTGTTATCACTGTGTTCAGTATGTTCATAGGAAATGGTTAGATATTAAAATGGAATGAAATCATCATTCACCAACAGCTGAGAGGTGTATTATTTAACTGTTGTCTCAAAGTTTAGAACACTGAAAAAAATCCTAAGGCTTTTTAATTTATCAAGCAATTTCTTATAATTGTTATTTGGTTGGATTTTAGATTATCAGCTACTACAATACAAAACTTTTTGTCAACAAGAAAATTGCACGTTTCAATTAGACTAGTTTTGTTTTAGCAGCGTATTTTGTGTGCTATTTCAGGAAAACGTGAAAATTTTAGAGGGGAAGGCGGAGGGTTACAAAAAAATTAAAATCCAAAAAACTAAAAAGACTAAGTTTATATGATGTTGATAAAATGTGCAATATAGTTGTTGAGATATCATCCAAAATTTGAAGCGAACTACTTTACTAGTTGTAAAATGTGGAAACCTTAGTATTTTTTAGTAATACGAGGGGGGTTCGAGAAGTCTTTGGTCTAAGTATGAAGGAATAAAGATAGAGCTTTGGAACTTGGCACACATACTTTTAGTTAATTCTCTATATAGTCAGCATGCTGAGTAACACATTTCTGCCACCTTTCTCTGACCTTCAAAGTCTTTGAGAGAAAAATGACCCAGAATGGGCCCCTAACCAGCCCTCAACAGCGGAAAAGAGATGAGGATGATAGATTTTGATAGGAAAGAAGGAGCAAACCACACTCTCACCATCCACTGTGCATGGGAAGTGAAAATAGAAAACTCAACAGAGGCATGAGCCTATTGAACACGTTTTGATTGGCGTGTATTGACAACTGTTGGGATGACCTAAAAAGAAAGGGGGAGGAATGATGAAACAAGCCAAAATTCCTTTGTGTTGACCAGATCTGCCGGAATTGATTACTGTGTTCAATTTCAAACCGGCTTTTGTCTGAGGGGCAGTTAGTTTTAAGGGAAGTTGCAGTACATAGAATAAAGAGGGACAAAAACAGGTTTGAAATTCTTTTGTTTTAACAGGAATTTCATTTTTAGAGTCTTTATATTAAAAAGAGTATACTGTGCTTATTCTTTCCCCATCCGCCAGGGGCAATTTAATATACCAAGAAATTCTGAGAGAAGACAAGGGTTCGTTTTTGCTGCTGGGCAGTTTTTAAGAATGTGGAAGTATTACTGGTTATCATCATTGTAAAGTGCCAGATCTGGAACAGACAGCGATCATGGTTCTCCATTCATCTCTCCTCTCGGTTGCCCTAAAAAACCATTCTATTATCATGGTGATTCCCCATCACCTATCCATTCAGGTTTTCCAAGTAAGTTGTTTTGGGTCTACCCTTGCCTTGTTTGTCTCCTATTTTTTCCAGTGAGAGCAAGATGTTCAAAACCTTTGTGTTGATTCAAGTTTCCCAGAAACTGCATTTGTCCCTTGTTTATTGTTCATATTAGTATTAGTGAGCGAACACGTAGGGTTCTTTCAGTACTTCCTCGTTTAGTTTCCTTTCCTTTCATGAAATTTATTACAGGTACTTGGATTTTTTAAAGTTCCAAAAAGGAGCTCCGTCTGAGACAAATTTTACATTTACCAAAGACTGATTTGTGAACATTGCTACATTATTGCTTTGCACATATTAGGTTCATATTCTAACTGTTAAATGGACCTAATGAGATCTGTCTACTACAGTCAACACCTTACCTTTAAGGAACATGCCTTTTAAAGAATTCACAAACTAGGTGACGATTGGTGAAAGTTTTCTTTCAGATCTCACTTTCTAGCGTATTGTTTAGCATTTTACCAAATGCATGGAAAGAATATAATATATGCACTAATACAGTAGGTGCAAACTGCACAATAAATGGTCACGTATGCACTCACTTTCAATGTGAGATTTGAACTGAAATCCAGAAACTACAAATTGACCTCCCCCTCCCCCACCACGCACACACACACATACATTTGGAAATTGGCCCCAATATTGTTTGTACGCACACGTCTAGGCTTGTGTCGGGTCGGACAGGCAGCCAGCACACGTGTGACAGTGTGTTCATGTGTTGGGGGGGGGAGGGCACTAGCGGTTCCGTTGTGGAACATTAGTGGAGATACAAAAATGTTACACCAGCTATTTTTTTTCCTCTGCTACTGATCAATATTATGTTGATCAATATTACATAGATCTACATTATGAATTGCATGCTGGAGTGTGGAATCAAAGGTTGCCATATGCTAGGCTCTACACAGCAACATAGCTTGTTTTACAAACATTACCTTATAGTTGATAGACGACACAGGTGGGCGTTTGAATGAATTGGCCCTTTTGCACAACATGCATTTGATATAGTGTATTTTCTTGAAATTTTCCAGCATTACTTCCATATTGTATTAAAGAAACGAAAATGCCACCCATTTGAAACAAAACTACTTTTGATTGAGAAAGTCAAATACACTTCACATTACTTGCTCTGTGACTGTAATTATCTACAGAAACCTCATTTTTGCTATAACGAACACTCGGATTCAACAAAATTGAAGGTCGGGCCTGACGACTTTGTTGAATCCGAGTTCCACTGTATCACTGAACAGAACAATTAAACCACACAAGAAATCTGATCACTCGCCCATGCTTTTGGAAGAGTAACACTTAAAAATTCAAAATAATAATATCATTTCAATATGTTATGGAATACCAGAAGAAACAAACCAAAGCAAAGGCAAACATGCTTAATAAAACACTCCTCTTTATTAACTCCTACACATGAAAATCCATGATGATTTCAAATAAGGCAAAACTGCCAAACCTAATCTCACAGGTCGAGGGGAGTATCTAACCTTTTTAGTAAAACGTTCTGCACTGAAGTAATCGACAGACAATTTCACAATTTCAAAACAGCAATTCATGAACAGTAGGAAAGAAATAGTTATAAGAAATAACCATGAGAATAGCCAGAGGAATTTTGACAAAAGGTTCATATTTGTGTGCTTATCAAATAAGTAGGCAATCAAACAACACTATTCGTAGCTTCTTCTTTTTCAAAATGAAAAAAAAATTAAGTGCAGTAAAATGTTCTTTGTTTATTATCAAAACTCAGAAAATGTTTTTGCATCACACAATTTGACAAAGGGATGGATAGTCAGCAGTGACTAAAATCACAGATACCCACAGCGTTATACAGTAATACTTTTTCTATTGTACAAGCACATTTGTTTCTTTTCCAGAAAAGGGAAATGGCAATTAGAGCAACAGTAAATCTCAAGATACAGTTTTCATTACAGTACAGTTTATAGTTCTCTTGTCCAAAAAAACACCCAGTTTTATGAGGACACTCGATCAAAAAGTAGACAACAAATTCCAACTTCTCCGCCGATCTGTTAGAACCTTCCTACTCTTCTCTGTTTCTCAGTTCAGCCTCAATTTCCATCACTTTTACACTCAAATTTTTAATAATATATATTATGTTCTCACAAAATATTTTTCATGACCAAATCTTCCCCCAAGAGGTTCTTTTGACTAGACTATTCACTTGGCATACAAGTCGGAGTGAAACTTGTGAATGCATAACAAGAATACTTAAATTCATATTTGTTTGAATGCAACACCCACAAAGTTCATTAATACTAATAGGTCAATACATGATGAGAGGCATTGGTGTATTTAGTCAACTGTTCACAGAAACCAATTTTTTCTAGCATTTTAGAGTTGTTATTAGTTTTATATTATAACTCATTATTGAATTTCAAGCAGACTTTTGCCTTAAGGTCATCTATTAAAACACCCATGTGCACAATGAAAAAAAATATATGCTGAAATGCAAGTTTCTCTGGATGTATTTACTATTGTAATTTGCATGCTCAATCCTTTTAAATGCATTCTTCATCGTGCAAACTTACCAATGAGATAGTAAAAAAAACCTTCACAAAGGTCTTGCCTTTTCAAAAAGGTTAAGCAACACAGCATGACGTTTGGCTAAACAGACTTAGGTGCAATACACTTCCATCATTCATCCCCTATCTTTTCCTAAAATGAAAGTGACCGACTATATTTTTTAGCTTCCCCTGCTCACTTAGAGGCGCAGATATTGGGCCAGTCACTACATGGGTGATATAAGAGGGAAAAACCCAAAACGAGAGAAGTAATAAAAATAATAACCAGATTATGAAGAGATTCATGTCAGAGTATGCTTTATGTTAAAGCATACTTGTAAATCCTCTGAAGCATTGAGCTTCTAGGGAGTGACTTTGAAGTAGGCCTAAATGTGTGGTAAATGTTTTATGTCCCTCCAGTATAATTTTGATTTGAAGCTGGGCTGCTTCCACCCTGCCTGTCATGGCCAACCTCAGGCTGCTTAGGAAACATCACAGCAGAAAGATGAAGATAATAAAAGATTTTTTGAAGTGGGAATCAAACTCACATCTTCTTTGCAAGGCAGACAGCCACAGACATAAGTAGGCAGATAAAAGAGATTGCTACTTATTATTCCAAAATTCACGCCGACCAACCTGCAGAGTGGCAGGAAAATGTATTTAAACCCATAATTCAGACAATAACTTTCGTTCCCACACCAAATAACCATATAAATACAATAAGTACAGTACATCCCAAAATTGCATACAGCTATAAAGTCAGCAAAGAACATAAAAAAACTCGGAAGAAATAAAGTAATTTTTATTTCATGGTTTCAATTTTCTTGCCATATTACGAACAGTAATTATAAACAGGATTTCTTAGCAAAAAAGCAGCAATGGGAAATTAAACACTCATATTTTCAGATTTTGTTTGCTGTACCAGGAGAGCACATAAGCAACAATTTGAAAGTTGCAAATATAGTAAAAAGATAAGTAACAGACAACAGACTTAAACATTATAAAAAAAGAAAAACAATACAATTCAGAAAAACAGTGTGGTATCTGATAAATACCACAACATTCTTGAATAGCTCATATTTTGATTCCCATATTTTTTCTACTGAAGTGAACCCACGTCACTCAGATGCAATAGAAATGCCCTTTCTGAATTTACATAACTCTTTAAGCCTGTCCTCTGAGCCTACAGGACCTGTGCACCTAAGCATCAACAGCTTAACATACATCGACATATATATATATATATATATATGCTAAGATGAGTGTTCAATGCACAGAAGGGCAAAGGTTGTCATACTCAGGAGTGTGCTCTCAGTCAGTCGGGATAAGCTTCCTCATTTAAAATCAAGCTGTAAAGGAGATCATCACATCACCAGATTCATTTGAGGCTTTTGGCATGGCACATGAATACTCAAAACTACCCTGTACAATTTACATCTTTTAAAAAATATTCAAATCTTTTTTATTTTTCTTTGACTGGTGTTGTCTTGTCTCCGAAAAAGACTAAAATACATAATTGTTATTCCTCAAGGTTTTTCCCTTCACTGTGAGCTGAATTCAAATCACTCTTTTTTTTCATTCACACCACTTTCCATCTCAAGTATTCTAGTATTACTAGTAACTAGAATCTTAATCATTTAATGAGAGGCTGGAATTCTCAAAGCAGTTTTAAAATATTTTCTTCAGAAATGGCACTGTGATACATGACAATTATCAGAGGCGTTTGTAGTAGCTATTACATGTCATATAAAGACATGAGAGTGGTGAAAGGTACTCATCAATAAATGTAAAAAGAACAATGGCAAGACAAAAGAAAAAAATTGTTCGCAGTCACTGTACTTGAACATATTATACATAATATGCCATTCCAAATAAGCATGGTACTATCTCTCATCATAATCACTACCTTTTACTATTTAAATATCCTGTTCCTTATTTTGAGTATGTAAATCATTCTGCAAGTTCAACATTACAAAAATAGTCCCTTATATAGAAAAACAGATAACTCAAACTCATTTGGAGCTTGTCACATGTTTAATTAAAATTAAATAGAGCTGAGATTCCAGATACACTGGTGTAATGTAAATGGCAACCAAAGTCTTACAATATTCCAATGCAGCGCAACTTTCTGACTGCTCCCCTGTTCTTGCTTCAACACATAATTAGTAAGATATCATTCTCTCTCCAGCTGCAAATTATACACTTCTGTTCCCATGTCCCACCCAAACCTTGGCATCAACTAGTAGGCTAGTAGTACCCAGGGCTATTTTCAGTGGAGTGACATGACCAACTTTCGAGAACCACATCTTCTGTCTTCCATATCCAACTTTTTTCTGTTAATGAATGTTACTGTAAGTGACTTGTGGCTATGAAGAACTACATGGGAACAGTTTGCCCCACCTAGTTCTCTCTTTCACTCTGCTGTTGTTTTTTTCCTGCAAATAACATTGCATCTACTCAGCCCTATCAGCTTATCCTAGGTCAGTGAGTAGCTTCTCTACATCTGTCCAAGCCTGACCACTGACTGAGAAGTTTTGTAGAAAGAGGAGTTCAACTTAAATACAGGCATTTTGTCTCCTGTACTGAATTACCATCACAGAATGATAAACGGAGTCAGTGTTACCCATGTTTTGGCTCCCCTTGAATATGATAACATACACACTCAAAATTGGGATACGACCCCCAAGTATGAGTAATTTGTGTTTTCAAGTTAGGCATGCCCCACTGTATTAGCTTTCAAGAATGTACCTGAATGCCAGCATAAATATGAGCTAGTTCACAAAGTAAAAGCAAGTTCCTTAAATGCATTACAAACCTTATACCATAGCATGATCTTTCCAACTTATTTTTCCCCCTCAGTGTTTCATATGAAAAGGAAAAATGTGATTAATATAAGTAAGCTATTCATTCATCCAATGAATCCTATACTCAATTTTAACTCTTTATCTCTGAGTACTAAATTTTAACTCTTTATCTCCGAGGAAGGTAAACCCACTATGCCAGGGCCTTCTTTTGGTGCAAAATCCAAAATTGACATATATTATGTCAGTAAATTGGTCATTAAATCAAAACAAATAAACCTATTTTCATACTTCTTCATCTAAATATTGAACTCCTGGTAAAAGACACCTGTTTTCTTGCCAAAAAGTCATTTGATGTCAAAGTTGTCTTAAAGGAATGTGCCCAAGCTACTGCCAGCGGCTCACCACTTCCAACCGCGAGCTGCTGTGGGAGCGGCTTGCTGTAGATAAGGAGTTAAAGTAAGCAAGTCAGCTGACCAATATTAAACCCTTGTAGTACAAAGTATTCAGAAGTCATTATCCACAAAGAATTTCAACTAATCACAAAAAAGTTAAACCCCATTCACTCCATCGCTATGAGCACTACTGCAAAATAGTCACAGCATCTGAAAACTCGAGGTGATGTCTTTAGCTTCCAGATATAAAGAAAGAGACAAAATCCTATCAGAAGGCTGTAACAATAATAGCTATAATCAGTGAACATTGATAAAAAATAAAGTTTTTTTTGTTTGATGATAACTGAAAATGACATCTCGTCTATTTATGTAAGTTTAGTTAAGTGATGGAACTTTTTATAAACCACAATACATTTTCTAATAGGACAATTTGTATTTGTAATCATAACATCCAAAATTACAAGCACTTGGTGAACACAAATAAACAATAGCAATCTATTTAAAAAAAAAAAAATTCATTATACTGTATTGTTCACAGACAAAAAATACTATTATGAGTCCTCTGTTCAGTGCGAAAAAAAAGAAACAATCATGGGTTTCATTGAGTGTAGAGATAAAAACATGACAATCAGTGTTGTCTAACAAAACCCAATTCATCTCAAAGAGGTAAACCAATTTATAGCCACCCCCACTGAGTAGATTAGATACAGAAAGTACACACACGTTGAGGAAGGTTTTTGTTTAAAAAACTGCACTGAACTATAAACAAGTAAGAACCAAGTACACTCACTTTCAAATCCACCTAGAGTCCCAGCAACATTAACAATTTAAAGAATAAGCAAATTTTCAGCAATAAACCCTTTAATCATTTGCTTGATAATTTCTCGAAACAAAGGAATTCAATGCAATTCTTGTGCCCACTATCTTGCATCAAACCTATAAATTAGGGTGAAAATCAGTGCTATGCTACATCCACAGCAAACACGCACACACACATTTTTTATCTTTTACAAGTATCTAAAGAATCAAGCAGAAGAACTGCAGGGAAAAAGGAATGTAAAAGCAAAATAAAACGACTATTTTACAAGTGCTGTGGATCATAACAGCTCAGAAACTATGTGAATCTTTTTTATAAAGTTGTGCTCCTTTCATTTCAAAACTTGTTATGCATTAGAGCATTTCCATAAAAATAACAAAACTACAGATTCCAAGGGTATAATATACTAATTATATGTGTAAAAGACAACCCGGAGCACATATTCTTAAAAGGTCCTGTTGATAGCATGTGAATCATACACAAGACAGTCTTGCGGCACTAGTTTGATTCAAATAAATACAGGCATTTACAATATTATATGGTAAAAACAACAGGAAAGGCAATCTCATATATTAAGTTACCAACTACAGAGGAACTAGTTGACCTAGATAAATGAGTATTTTTAAAGGGAGCTCGAAAGGCTTTGATAAAAGATAACGCCCCTCTATGCAATTATTTTTTCTCTATCAAGAGCCATTGTTGTGCAAGAGGCAGGACCAATCAATAATCATCTGTCCGCTAAAGGAGGGGATGGAAAGGTTACAAAAACTTTGAAAACAAACCAGGTTCAGGAGCAAATTAAAACATTATTTGAACCACGACCTGACTCAGCACAATTAAAAGTTTACCAACTGAGGCTTTGTACAACACAAAACTTAACTACTTTGAAAAATCATTGTTGAGGACAAAAGGGTGGGCTGTGGCAGAGACATTTTCAGGGATGGGGGTATACGTTTAAAAACACTGTTAAGAATACTTCTTTTTACAAAAGCAGTATCAAGACTTGAAACCTGCTTCTGACAGCTAAGAGCAATAGCAGCAAAACGATGCTAATTTCACAACTTATAATATGGCTTTCAACAACTGTTACAAAACCCCTAAATGTCCATCATATCAGAACAATTAAAGGAAAAGAGCTTATAAATTATCTCCTTTTTACCATATGCTTCACATCCACAATTCTTGAGTAATGCCAAAAATTAACATCGTTTTCAGATTCCTTTACGGACAATAATTTTCTTTTTTTTAAAATAATTTTCTTTCTTTTTTTTTTTAAAGAAGATTTTTTCCATGATATAATTAATCTTAGCTTAAAAAAGACATGCTGAATTGAGACCTGAACATTTTCAGATAAAACAGCCGTATTATCCTTCATGAGGTGGATTTTACAAAAAAAAAGAAGTTAAGAATGAGCACCTTCACTACATATTGTACTCTACAAGTTAAAATCAACAACAAGTAAAATATTTTTGCGTCTCATAAATCACATCTGCAAATAACATGATCATAATTCTATGAGAGGTGTAACAATGGAATATAAACATCATCCACCACATTAGTCATCATTGTCAGGAACACAACAAAAAACAAATGGAATACTATGGAACATATTGTAAATTACAATGTTATTCTTTTCAAGTTCAATTTCCATGTAAAGATTAGAAAGAAAGAGTCTCACAAACAGATTTGATCTTGAATCTTCAGAGGAACAAACACTGTAAATAAACAACCCCGACTAACACAATCTGTTAAGAGGAAAAATATGGAACACTGAAATTTAAAAAAAAAAAGCCCCTTAACTACCCGTGTCAATAGAAAGTTGGCTCTGAAACTACCATCACACAGCTAGTAACTTTCAAATGGTGGTACATTTCATACCTTGGGTTGCTCTGGGTAGGGGAGAAAAACATATCAAGTTTACCGAAAGACATTTCTCAATTAATGCTTTGACCCATCCCCTGTGCGAAGTTTGCGCCGCAAGATGACATCCTTGGGAATCTTTCTGAGATCGTACGCTTGGCCAACCAAATACATAAAATCAATGAAAAGAGTGGTAATATTCAAATGCCAACCAAATTCACTGGTCGAGTAGTCATGGGGGAAAACATGGTGGTAATTGTGAAAGCCTTCTCCAGAGGCACAGAGAGCCACTGCAAAGTTCTCAGCCGGGTTGATGCGCTCGTCATAAGGTCGATTCCCCCACATGTGGGCGGCACTGTTGACCAGCCATGTGGCGTTCAGCACCAGGGTGTAGCGCAGAAGTGTGCAAATATAGAACGCATTGAAGAGACTCTCACCCCAGAATACTGCCGGGACGCAGGTTGGCAGAATAAAACAGAAGACGAGTACCAACTTCATGTAATGCCTGTAATAGAAAGAGACAACAGGATATATGTTCACAATGAAGTGTACACATATAAGACACCGATGTTAAAAACATGAGAAAAAAAGTCAGGGGCGACACAACAGGTCTGAAAGAGCTGGACATATTTTTTTTTTTAATTTAATAGGAAACCAGCAGGAGATAACTATCCAAGAAGGACTCCCATACAAGAATTGAGAACGATGGGATTTGAACATGTGTACTGTTCTCTTATTCACGATCTTTTTAATTTATTTTATCATTGTCAACAGAAAGATATTCCTAAACCATCAATTCTTCTATTCCTTTGTACGTCTATACATCTCTCTCTCTTGCCCTTTTTAACTCCCAGTGGAGCACAGGATATCAACAACATTACTCCAGCGAAGCCTGTCCTGAGCATCCTTTTCTATCTGTTTCCATGATGTCCCCGCTTTTTCAATTTCCGCTTGTACCGCTCGCCTCCATGTCATCTTTGGTCTTCCCTTCTTACGCTTTCCTTGTGGGTTCCACGTTAAAGCCTGCCTGATGATGCTTGTCGGGGGTCTCCTCAGGGTGTGTCCAATCCATTTCCATTTCTTCACCTGAATATCTTCCTTTACTGGCCTTTGGCTTGTTCTTTCCCACAGTTGAGCATTAGTGACTCGATCGTACCACTTGATCCCCACTATCCTTCATAGGCATCCATTTACGAAGCTCTGCAGTTTCTTTGCTGCTGATGCTGTGAGCCTCCATGTCTCTGAACCATACAGTAGAACAGTCTTCACGTTTGTTTTGAAGATCCTCAGCTTGGTGTTCAATCCCAGTTCCATAGACATCCATATATTCCTGAGAATGATGAATGCTGCTCTTGCCTTTTGGATTCTGACCTTGATGTCTTCGTCTGTTCCCCTTGCCTTGTTGATGACACTTCCCAGGTAGGTGAAGGATTCAACATCCGCCAATGATGCCCCTTGCAGTGTGATAGGAACGTCGGCTGCATTCATTCGTAGAACTTTCGTTTTATCCGTGTGAATATGGAGTCCAACACTACGGGAGAAGGTCCTGAGGCGATCTGTTTTCTGTTGCATCTGGTCTCGACTGTGAGAAAGAAGTGCCAAGTCGTCGGCAAAGTCCAAGTCTTCCAGCTGACTGGAAAGGGTCCACTGAATGCCACCGCGTTGTCCCAATGTTGTCTGTCTCATTATCCAATCTACTGCTAATAAAAAGAGAAAAGGCGATAGCAGGCATCCCTGTCTCACTCCTGTATTCACTACAAACGAGTCTGTCCGCTGCCCTCCAAGTAAGACACTGCAACTCATTCCCTCATACATCTTCTTGATCAATCTCACGAACTTGTCAGGTGTTCCGTAGTGGCGCATGAGCTTCCATATTGAGTCCCTATCTAGGCTGTCAAAAGCTTTCTCGTAGTCAACAAAGTTAACGTACGGGGAAGAGTTCCACTCGGTGGACTGCTCCACTATTATCCTCAAAGTTGCAATCTGATCTGTACATGATCTCTTTTTACGAAATCCTGCCTGCTCCTCTCTTAGTTTTGCATCCACGGCTTCCTTCAGTCTTTCTAGTATGGTACAACTTAAAATCTTCCCAGGAATGGACAGGAGCATGATTCCTCTGTAGTTTTTACACTCATGCAGGTCTCCTTTCTTGGGTAGTTTCACGAGCAATCCCTCTCTCCAATCCTGTGGAAATTCTTTGCTGTCCCATATCTTGCCAATAATTCCATGAAGAATCCCTGCCGCAGTGTCGATATCCGCCTTGAGAACTTCTGGGGGAATTTCATCTGGGCCGGCTGCCTTGCCTGCTTTCTGGTGTCTTATTGCCTCCTTGATCTCCTCTAAACTGGGCTTTTCTTCACTCACCCCCAGACCAATCTCTGCTGGTGGAATGTCAAACTGTTTTTCTGGCCTTGGTCTGTTCAGTAGCTCTTTGAAATGCTCCTTCCAGAGTTCTTTCTGTTCGTCTGGATTTGTGAGAAGCTTTCCCTCTTTATCCTTCACTGGCACATCTGCGTTCTTGTATCTGCCTGCAAGTTTCTTGGTGGTTTCATACAGTCCTCTCATGTTTCCTGCCCCTGCTGCTTCCTCTGCCCCGCGCGCTATGTCATGTACATAGTTTCTTTTGTCTACGTCTATACATAGAGAGACAAAAAGAAATGATGACATTCATACAATCATCTTGCACTTAAAGAGATGTTAATGACTAAATTCGCAGAAGTGCAGGGAAAAGACTACACAAAATCAAGGCACATAGCAAGGTAGCGATAAGAATAATGGGTCATAAACTATCACACTACTTGACTTGGGGTTTGAAAGAGTTATCCAGGTTATAACCTTACAGTCTTATCAAAATACAACAACTTGACTCTTCATCTGAACTAGAACACAAAAAAACCCCCAACCCTAACCTCTTATCTCAAAAGTCAGCCCATGATTTTTAGGGAGATAAAAATGATATTGAGATTTCAAACGAGCCACTTCTTATCTCAAAGCTTCATATTTATAGGTGTAACTCCAGGAATCACAATCCTGGAAAAGATAGAAGAAGAGTGACTATCACTATGACATGACTTTTCAATTTAAAGCGTATGGCGTGACCCTGCTGCAGTTACATGATCTCCACACATGTCATGTGTTTAGGAAATATCTTGACACTTTCCAAAAACCTCATCACCCTGACTGAAAGTCATATTTGGTTCTCTACAGTAGTTTTTATTTATTTTATTTTTGGGGGGGTTATGTGTTCCATGGCACTCGCAACTGCATAAGGTCATATGAGAGTGCGGGATACATTAAACATTTTCAATTAGTAGAAAATTTTGAATTTTGCTCGGGTAGTGGCCGAAGCCTACTCTTGATTTTAGACCACTGAGGGATCTTTAATGTGCGCAACTTGCACATGGGACTTTTGAGATTTTTCGCCCATGTCCAAGAAGGCTAGGTGTGTAGGTCTTTCCTACCTGAAGATCAGGGGTGTGACTGAAAGACAGCAGTGAGAAGGAGCCAAGGAGTAGCAGTAGAAAGGCTGCAGAAAGCAGAAGCCCAGAGGAGGGGGCATAGGAGGTGAGGGGGTGGGGCAGAAAGTGGAGATGAAAGCAGACGACAGAACATTGCAAGAGAGCAGGAAAGGTGGTGAAAGGAGACAATTTTAGAGAAAAAAATTTTTGCGGTCGCTACCCGAATTCGAACCCGGGACCTTTGATTGAGAGGCGAACACCTCAAACTCTAGGCCACGAGAGCCCCCCTACTGTAGTTAAGTATTTCAAGGATTTATTTTAAAAATATAAATATAATATAACAAAAATGGGGTCAAATTCTGCACAGAGAAAACTATACCAGGTATTCAACCATCAGACTAGGCATGAAGTAACAGAAACAGACAAATAAAGTCATACGTTATCGATCCTTTTCTCATGCCGATAACTCTTGATTATTACAGAGCCACACACGCGAAAAAATAAATTTAAAAAACCCAAAAGACAAGTTCCTGTAGAAACATATGGCCCCACTGCAAGTAAGAACAAGACTTACAAGTACCCTTACATTTGAACTTCACTCCAAAGCTTGTTTTAATCCATTTTCTTTTTAAAAAAAATATACAATACTTGTACAATAGTTTGTATCTTTTTCAAGACAACCAAATAAGAATTATTTTCCAAGCCGAAACAATTCTTCTCGAGTACATCCATAAACCATTCCTGCTCACTTGTTTGAACAAAGGGTATCCCTAAATCATCAATGCCAGACAGTATCATTTTGGAAATTTTCATGTTCCCACCATACTGAGAGTCACAAACTATCCCATTTGCAATCTTTCATAAACTGAAAATCAAAACAGCAGCACTCCCCTGAGAACCAAAACAGGAACTGAGGTCAACTCATTGAATCACTTTTCTCTGTAAGTTTGAATATTTGTGCAAAGAAAGGAAACTTTTCTTTAAAAGCTCTCTCCATGCACTTGAGTAACACAGCTTGACAAAAGAGTGATGGAAGCTCCAGTTCTGACCGCGCTTCTTCCCTCACAGTTGCGTGACCCCCGCCGCGACGCTCGCGACGAGTCTCACAAGCCCTGCGTGACCAACTTTGGAATTTTTTTTTTGCTCTACAAATCACGCATGGATCGCGAGACCCGCCTCGTACCCTTGTTTGGCCAAGCCTGAGCTACTTAGACTTCATTTCGTATCTCTGGGGCTTGTAGTTTTTAAGTTATTGAAGGTGAAGGACAGTGACCGGAACTCGCGCTTTGTTTTTTCCTATACAGCTGATAGTAATCCGACAGTCGCTGATAGTAATCCGACAGTCGCGTCGTAGTAACGGTCGAAGAAGTCGCATGAACAAGAATCACATAATTTCGCCGTTTTCTATACTTCCGTACGTTTTACTAGTTCTAGTGTCTCAGAATATGATGTGTCTAATAGTTAGGATCCTGGATATGTACCCGAACACGGCCCGAGTCGTAGTTCTAGGGCTAGATCTAGCACTAGTACCGGTGTTGTTTTTCGCGCAACGAAATCACAACGTCGTGCCGTACATCTGTCTCATGTAATTCAGTGTATGGGTCTGAATCAATGCACAGTTCAGCTTTTATATTTTCACCAAACATTCTACTTGTCACGTCTCTGGAAATTGTTCGGAAAATCAAATTCATGCCAATTTTTAAAAAATCATACAAATTAAAGTATTACACTTAGACAACTTTAGTTTTTTTGTATTAGATTAAGCTTGAATGTTACTTTACTGTGTCAAAAAATAATTACAATAGGGTAATTCTGAGAGTTGTGGTGATTTATTGAAATACCCCCAAAAACGCCAGTCTTCAACGCTTGTGACTGGTGAAAGGGCCCAGTCGCAAGTGAGTTAACACTTTGAATGCAGATATGTTCATTTCACAAGACAAATTTTAAACCATTAAAACTTACCTGTCCTGAAAAGCTACGACGGGATCATTTTTCAAGTCTGACAAATCAATCATTTTTCCTTTTTCCTTGACATCAGGGTGTTTCTTTACACACAACCAGCCAATGTGGGAAAAGACAAACCCACGTTTGGCATTATGGGGGTCTGCATCCGTTTCTGAGAATTTGTGGTGGGCCCTGTGGTCACGTGACCATTCCAAAATGGAATTCTGAAAATAGAACACACATATAGCTAAATTCTCACTGGCAATTTAATTTGAGTAAAAACTTAAGATGGCCAATTTGAATTAAGAATGAAAATAAGGAGGGATTCAGACACTTTCTTTGATTTCGCAAAGCATAGACTATAATTGCAGAGCTTTGGACTTGGAAGCAAATGAAAATACTGACATAAAATTATCTGACACACAGAAAGGAAACTCCAGACTGATTGAAAGAAAAATATGTATCTACAAAATACAGATTTCTAAGTTTTCAGACCCACATTACAAATCTTACAGTCTTAAAGACGTAACAAACCAAATATTCAGAAAATGCCTTTTTTGGGGCAGAAAGCTAAACATTCAAAGGTACCTCAGTTTCTTTAACACTAAGAAGGCGAGGTTTTACTAAATTATGCAATGAGGCTTAAAAGAAGAAAAGTTTAATTTAAGACTGTGTTAAATAATTTCCTGCGAAAGGAAAAAACTAAATTTAAAACCATGAATACTGCTCTTTGTACCTACGGTGTACTTTGTATGCATAATACTCAAAGGGTACGTCAACACATGCATGCCAAGTCCAAAATTCAAGGAGCAAATCAAGGACAAGCCTAAACAAAGGAACAATTGAAAGAGGAAGAGAGAGAAGAAAAAACGTGTGCATGAGTTTGCAAAACAAAACAAAAGAGAGAGAGAGAGAGATAGAGAGAGAGAGAGAGAGAGAGAGAGAGAGAGAGAGAGAGAGAGAGAGAGACAGAGAGAGAGATGGGCAACAGGCAGACAAATAGACAGAGAGGAAGAAAGGGACTACCTCTTAGATTTTCGGCTTGTATGAAAAACAAGTTTTGTGCCACATCTCAAGACTGTTTGAATATGGTTCACAAAAACTTTGAGACTTCATAAGTAATCACTTTACCCTCAAGAGCCCAGGAGCAAGGAAAAAGCAAGATATATTTCTATGCAAAAATACGTTTAATGGCTTTTTCAGCCAGACGCCAAAAAGTTACGTATACCCTTCCTGCAACCATAAGAACAAACCAAAAAAAGGACTTTAGAATAAAGTTATATTAAAATTAATCTCTCTCCCTCCCTCCCTCCTTCTTACATACATAAAATTCTAAATGTGTGGGAAAAGAACTCATACTGATACCACCTACACACCATACACATTCACAGTAAAGTCTATTTAAATAAACCCAGCAAATTCATACCTCGAATGAAATGCTGTTGCACATGCCTAAAAAGATTCTCAAAGGCAACCTTGCTTTGTACGATCTGTGTGCCCATAGTCTGTGTGCCCCAGCCGTCACTCCCTGGGCAGCCAGCCAAAATATGAGCACAGCTAATTCAAATGAAAAATCAGTTAAAAGAATGTTATTGGGGAAAAAGTAATAATGCAGTGACTCAAAATCACATTCACTATAATACTATTCCAATCCATCACTTAATACACCTTGTCTAATAGTCTTTAAAATTAATTAAAAGTTAGATATATGATTAAAAAAATAGCACATATAAAGGTAAGCGTTGCATCCTAGAAGAATACAAATTAATTTAACAAAATTATTGAAAAACTGTCTAATAACTTCAGCTTCACATGGCCACATGCAACATCAGTTTCAGTGGAAAGTTTTAGAAAATATATTAAGAGTCTAGATAAGACAGAAGACCAATATAATAAGCATGAGACAAGAAGGAAACCTTGAAGCAGCAAACACATATTTACACTCCATTTGATATTGAAAAGGTATCATTAACTACAGGTGAAATGTGCGAAGCCTTTTCTTTACTGAGATTACATTACATATTGAGTCCAAGATTCACATCCATCAAGGAGCCTGCAGTGAGTACATGCTTTGTATACTGCTAATTTGGTGTTAGATATCACTTTTTCATTTTCCCATCGTCAGTGAATGAGTGTTACAAAGGATGCACCTGCTCTTCCAGCATCCCTTTTCAGTTCTTTGTTAGCATGGCTATGCGCCTATCTTACAACTTGAAGAACTGGGTGTCTTCAGAGGCAGTGGCAGAACCAACATGGTACAGGGGATGTAAAGACCTGTCATTAACCAAATGAACACAGGAACGATCAGCAGATGGACTCTGAGGTGGATATTGGAGAAGGGAGTGGAGCACGTATGGCAACGCCCAGAGTGCTATGATGTTGTTCCCAGGATCAAGCAATCAAGTTCTTTGTTCAAGGAGAGATTGTTTTAACTGTGGAACCAAGCTAAGTGAATCCTTGTAGCATGAAGAGAAACACACACACATAAGGCATTCCAGGACGAGACATCACTTTCGTACATTCCACACGAACAGCTTGGAAACTTTCACTGAACTGTCACTTATGAACTCACGTACTACACATAACAACAACACACCTTAACAATTTGATCTTAAGGTTAGTCGCCACATCCTCACCATTCAGCTCCACATCATTATGTGTCACTGATGGAGACATTTCCACACCTTAAACAAGTATCTCATTTCTCTTGCTACTAACTGTTAGGCTGTACTCAGGATGCGTTTTGAAAATATTGTCTATGAGACATTGTCGCCCTTATTCCAAGTTGGCAACAACTGCAGCAGTATCTGCAAAAGGCATATAATATCACACATACAAGTATATTATTATACACTTGCATATCAGACGTTTTGTTTTCAGTTAGGAGAGATTGGATTGAACAGTCCTCTATCACACCTGGTGTGCAAACAGATCCTTCAGTACTGGAATGACCAAAAAATATCCTCAACAGGGTCGGAGCCAGCAAGCACATATGTACTTGTTTCAAGCCCCTACAGATACTGACAGGCTTGGAGAAATCACTGTTGATCTGGACGATACTTTCTTTGCATGTCAGTATCGAAAAACCTAATCCCACTAAAGAGTTCGTGAGGGCAAGATCTCTTAAAAAGACCACCCTGATTCACAAGACTGAATGCTTTCGTCAGGTCTACAAAAGCAACACAGAGGGGTTGTCCTTGTTCTCTGCATCTCTCTTGCAACAACTGTATGAGGGAGAGGATCATATCAACAGTCAAGCATTCTAGTCTGAAGTTGCAGTGAGGTAGAGGATTGGATTTAAATTAGCAATTTTCTGCTGCCTATTCAGGGAGACAAACGGATAACTTTCCAAAGATGCTTAAGACAGAAATCCCTCTGCAGAGGTTACAGTTGCTCCCGTGTTCTACATTTTAATAAAGAGCAAGGGTGCCGATATTTTTTTATTTCTGGTTCTAGGAGAATCCTGATGACCTCCGCTGGTTCCCATCATGCCTGGGGCTTTCCTTATTTGGCAGACGGTCTATTGTTTCTTTTAGCTTATTAATTTGTTGCAATTGATTCAGTTCTGGCATGCATTTCAGAATCTTCATTGTTCTTTTTTTCATAAAGCCAACAATAGTATTCCACCCATCTATTTATCTGTTTAGCTTCATCCTTCGTTATGTGTTCTTGGCTAGAGCAGTCTTCTTGGGCATTGATTCTCTCCGCCCTCTTAAATCAACCTTAGACCCCCCCCAGTAGTTTCTGGAGTCAGACGTGCAATGGATTCTCAACACATGTACATCCAATAACTGTTTGAGTGTTCAGAGTTCATCATCTAGTGCTAACTTCAGTAATAGTTTTTATGCTTCTGTAGATGTTTTTTTCTGCTTGAAGCAATCTTGTTTTTTTCCTCTCCTTCAGGGCAGAGGTTTTTCTTTGGCTTGTTTTAGTATAGACTTTTTTTCAGAACTGTCCACATCTGCTGTCCACTTCCCTCAGGTGTGGCTGGAAATGCTTCCAATAGGTTTATGTTGAAGGTAACCACTTTCTCCAGATTCCTTGTCTTGTTGGCATCAGTTACTGGCTTCCCTGACGGCTTCATTCAATATTTCCAAGCATCATTTTTGGTAGTACTGCAGGAGTCCCACTAAGCATTTGACTAGAAAGTGAACAGTATCACAATATGCACTGTGAAAGGAGCAGCTGATGAGAACATCTTTTATAATTTCTCTTCTTGTAATAAATAGATGCCATAATTTTTGTCTGTGGTGCCTCCTGACACCTTGTGGCATGATGGGCTTTGCCCAGAAGTAAGTGTTTGTAATACTCAGGTCATTTACGGTGCACAATTCAAGAGGGCACTGGCCACTTTGGCGCCTTTTCTTTGGTGCTTTAACCTCTATCGAAAATGGGATTATATGAAATTTAGAAAGATAAACCATTTTTACATCATATGTTTCAAGGAATTTGCTCAAAAAGACCCTTTTTTAATAATTATTTTTTAGGACACATCGTTACTGAATTACGCCGAATTCCTAGACAAACTGAGGGAATCTTTACTCAATCAGATGGACACTTTCTTTCCACGGAAACCACCACATATTATATAATAAAAGAAAGATAATTTTATTGCCGTTTTGGGAAAACCCAGTGCGCATGAATATTTAAACACCACAAATAGTTACAAGAGTTGCGCGCATCTTCTTGTTAAACTTCTGAAAAAGTTTTTTCATTAGTGCCGTTTAACCTTCTTCGGTTCCATTTCCTGCCATTCAAACCGAATGTGAACTGTCCCTAATTGAATTTAAGTTCTTTGTTCTGCTCTTTTTTCCAGTTTACAGTTAGTAAACTGCACGTTTTCTGTTTCAAAGTGATTGAGCACTATTGTTTACTTAATTTTAATTTGTTCCTAAAGTAAACAAAACTTTAAAACCCATTTTTTCAAAACTTCACATTCAGACCCCTGTGCACTTTAAAATGCCATTAATTTTTTTAAAATGCTATATATTTGTTCGGCTCAAACAAAGTGCAAAAAGCTCAGGAAAGATGTATCTTTAAAAAAATGCAAAAAGTCAATTTTGAACATTTGCACCATATGAAGAGTTTTGTAAGAGCCACACACTTCTTGCTCACTATTCTCTCTATTATAGGCCCCTGATTATACTTTTATATAGTCCTTCTATCTCTCCTCTTTTCAAATACTTTGCAAGTAGGGCCTTGTTCAAAGCCAAATGCTGTCATATCTTTAAGCTGATGCATCTCATTCAGGACCTCCAAAATCGTCAAATAGATACAAACTTCACTTAAAACGACTAAGACTTGCTGCCACGATGCCACAAACATTACTGTCCCTTACAACTTCAAATTGGAAAAAAAGCAACATAAGTTCAGAAATCCATGGCATGGTCATGGAATAATAAAAAAGAAAAGAAAAAGACAAAACTTGATAAAAAAAACAACAACACTTACTCCATATAAATGTTTGATACATGGTCTTTGGTAGGAGGAAAAGAGCATAGAATGCACCGATATGTAGTAAAATGAAGAGAATAACATTGCGCCAAACAATGACAGTCGGAGGCCTCTTCTGTGCATGTGCAGGATCTGGTGGTATCATCTCCACTTGGTCCAAGCCAAGTATATCACCTTCATAGTCTTGAGTTTCTGTTTTATTCCTCGGTGGCATTGTTTTGGTTTATCTGTATCTGTTTCTGAGAAGAAAAAAAATAGATACACGAAATCAATTACAGGCCTAGGTGTAAGATTAAGTTGTTCATACGACTGACCAAGCCTAGAATTAACTAGCACCTTTATATGTCTTACATTTTTCATTCAAAACTATATCAATTTATGCTTTCCACAATGCAACTTCGTTTATTAAAAGCTGTCTGATGTTAAAAGAAGATAGATCCTTGGACAGACTACCTACTGTTCATTATTAGATATTACCTTAACTACACCTTTACCCTTTTAAAGTTTTAGTAAGAGTTTTACGGCACTTGCTACACAATAACGTAAGTGCTGAAGATTAGAGGTGTTACACGTAAGAGAGTAACAAAAATTAAAAAGAAGGAGAGATAAAATGATAGTTGTTTGATAGGACAGAATTTAAGGAGCAAACCACGCCAGAGCACCCGCCAACAACCGACCTACCTTTATTTTCACTTAAGACCACTTAGAAATGTATAAAAACTTTCTTCAGTCGAACCTGCCATGACGGGCATCTCTGTAAGACGGCCACTTTCCATTTCCCCCTTTTCTATATAATTTAACTGTAAAACGGTCACCTGTCCAACGTGGCCGCGGCCCCTTTATTTTATGAACCCAGAGCCAACCTTACCTGCCTCAGGCAACCAGGCGTGGTCCCATTACATTAATCATTTAATGCTCAGTCATAAATTCTAAATCAGCCTCTGACACTGAGGACGGGCGGTCATAATCTGTTCACCTGTCATTATTGTTAGTACTACCTCCAATGAATGTTTACGTAAGTTGACCAATGGGTAGCAACACATTTTCCACAGCTGGTGAGGGAAGCATGTGTCCGTCATACTATATAAGCCCCGCCCACAACTCATACAAATTGTACGTGAAGTGACTGGTCACTGTTTTGTTTACCTAATCTGTAACAAAGTAACAATGGACGTTAACGTGTGAACTTGTGACAGAAGCGTCGCTCGTTCTCTGCTCCGAGTGGTGGCGACCCAGTGTTTGTTTTACAACGACACTCGGTCTTCATCGTCCTACATTTTTAATTTATCCTTGCACAAAATCAGCAACAAAAAATAACCGGAAAAAAAAGAACAAAGAAAGCAACAACAGAAAAAAACCCTTCTTACACTCCCCCCCCTTCAAAAGAAAACAAAAAACAATTTTGAATTCGCCTTTACTGCAGTCCTACGCCTGAATCAGCCCCAGTTTGGACTTCAGAAGGGAATGGTTTACTTTCTTCATTTTGATCAGTCCTGCCTAAGACGGCCACCTGTGTTATGCTGCCACTTTTCTCCATGACAATGGGAGGCCATTTTACACAGGTTCGACTCTATACTTTTTTCCAAACTATGGGGAATTTTATTGGGGGTGGGGGGTTAAAATTTTTATAACAATAGAACAGAGGGTTACAAACAATTTTGAGTATTAAAAAAAAACTGGTAAAATATAATGGCTCTCAATGGCGTAATTATCATACCAAACAGGGTAGAAATTCTGAATTTCTACCCAGTTTTGTAATTCTGGTAGACTGTCTAGATGTGTGTCATTACACTCTGCTGTTAATGTTACTGTTACAGAGAAACTTAATTTCAACTAGATCTAGATTTTTAAAAAGGCCGGGGCTATTCCGCGGCTGTTCGGACTCAAGTCTGAATTCGAGTCCGAATAGTCCTTCCGTGGCTATTCGTACTCAAACTCCAAAGCGTGTGCGCAATCATAAAAGTGTACCGAATATGAAGCAGACAAGCAATTCGACCTTGGCCTTCCTTGGTTTCTACGATCTCAAGGAACTTGTACAACAAATGGATGCCTACTGTAGTGACCCAGTGCGGGCTGTGGTCTTTTCTTTAAAAAGGGTAATATATTATATAATAGTAGGGCCGGGTAGTGGGCAACGGTATGGGAGGGAATATATAGATTCTAGATCTTGATTATCATGCAAAAAAAAAGGTGAAGGTGGTGGGGCGGGCCCGGGGAAGTAAGATGGAGAGAGAAGTAAGAGAAAGAGAGAGGAAAAGTGAGAGAGACAGAGAGAGTGAGAGAGAGAGACAGAGAGAGAGAGACAGACAGAGTGAGAGAGAGAGAGGCCTGAGGGGGGAGGGGAGGGGGAGGCTGTCTTATAAGGACCGATTATGAATTTTATGTTTTGATCCCTTTATAGTCGTGAAACGCAGTATACCCTACCAGTAGGTTAAAGCCCGAATAGCAGCAGCGGGAGAATATTCGGACTCGAGTGTAGATCTAGACCTCGCTTACGGTACAACCGGTGATTGCGCACACGCACTGGAATTTGCGTCCGAATAGCCACTTCGTTTCTAGAGATCAGGTTTCTAGATTAGATCTAGATATTTAGAATGTATTTTTAAACCCTGAGACTTCACTCACATAAAGTAACCCCTGGTGAAAGTGGCAAGCAGCAACATTTGGAGACAGAAAGGTGAAGAGCAGTGCGGGCCTGACATAAAAAATATGGTGGGGGGTTTCAGGGGGGCATTTTACCACAATTTAATGTTTTGCAGTTGTTAGGTTTGATATCTTAGCTTGCCACAAATCAAACGAATAGATCTAGATTAGATCTAGATCTAGATTCTAGAATCCAGATCTAGATTAGATCTAGATATCTAGATCTAGGCCTGCTTGATCTAGAATCTAGATCTAGATATCTAGCTCTGACCCTTTTGAAATAAACCCGCGACAGTGAGTCTCTGTTCAAGTTCAAGGGACAAAACGGGGAAGTGTAGATCTAGGCCTAGGCCTAAATCTAGATCTAGACCTAATAATATCTAATCTAGATCTAGATTCTAGATCTAATCTAGATTCTATCTAGCAGCCTAGGCTAGGACCTAGAGTGGTCGGCTTGCTAGCCAAGACAAGAGACAAGAAACGGACAGGCTTTATATGAACGATTGAGATTTCGCATGGTAACGAGTTACAGTAGCCTAGGCCTAACGAGGCAATAAAAATATTCAACATTACATCTAGAGTCTAGATGATCTACATCTAGAATCTAGATCTAGATTCTAGATATCTAAATAATGCATGCATCTTCAACATATAGACTCTAGATCATCTAGACTCTAGATCTTTACTAAACAGATTACAGTTTTTCCTTGTGTGCCCTTCAGTAGCTCGATTCCAAGATCTTTCCTGCTGCTAGCCTAGCACTGAATATTGATTGGCGGAACAGAATAGAAAAGAAAAGAAAAGAATGAATAAAAAGACGCACGGAACACAAACAAACGAGCGCTTCGTTCGTTGGAAACGCTGACTGGCTGTTGAAATCTACACTCATTAAAATATAAAAAACAACACAAATTATTCATATTACAATCACATAGATCTAGATCTAGATCTAGAAATCTAGCTACACTTATCACCTACCTTCTCTCTAGTCTAATAAAAAAAATTGTCGCCAGTGGTAACTAAACGCAATGCAGCTAAAGTATCCAATAGATCTAGCGGCACTCTCTCTCTCTCTCTCTCCCTCTGTCTGTCATAGGCCTACACAACAAGCAGTGCTAAACACAGACTTCCACACCGGGCTCACACATCAGCTGTTTTGAATGTGCCTACAAGCTTAGGCTTACCCAAGTGGCGTGATGGTCGTCTATCGTATGACGTGGGGAGAAAATCGAAAGGATCAAAAAGTATACAGGAAACTATCGGTGGCTGGAAATCGAAGGGAAATATAGGTATATGGGACACAGATATGAAATATTCGTTTGAGCTTGTTTCTATTACTCTAGTATTTATTAGACCTAGTTATAAACAAAATAATAATAATTCGAAATGTTATTAAAAATCCCTTCGATATGATATATTTCATGCAGAGTGAGCGTGTGGGCTATTTTCACCAGTCAGAGAGGGAAATAGCCTACACTCGTACGAAATGACGAAATGTCGACCAAGAAACAAATGAAAATGTGCCGTGGAAAATAACTCAGATCTATTTGACAATTAAATAACCCGGCCTTATAATTCTTACTAGGCCCTATTTGCAATAACTTTTGTTTGGTTTTGGCTTGTTAACTTGGAGAATTAAAGGGGTAACAATCTGTTGAAAAAAAGAAGAAACATAGATAGAATCTCTATAAATTATTATTTGGCTTATAATATAATTCTATGCGCTACTTTTATATAATAAATAAAAAAGAGGATATTTGACGACCTACGTTTAAGTAACTCGCTACACAACAATAGTACATAGTCCAGTCTATGATCCTTATTTTACTTCATGTTAATTCGGTTATTGCGTTGTAAGAATTTTAAAATAATTTATTATTTGACAATTGTACTCTAAATAGACATCTTGCTTCAGTTGGCTACCCGATAAAGACACGCATAACAAACAACTAAGCGCACGTGCACACGCGCTCACACAGACACGTCGTACTATGAGCTCGTGCGCGCGCGCGCAACCACACATACACACACACGCACACACACGCACACACACACATACACACACACACACACACACACACACACACACACGAACACGTACACATACATACTCACACACGTACACACACACACACGCACACACACATATACACCCCCCCACACACACACCTATTTTGTAGGAGACCTAGACCCACTTCCCGTCAGTTAACTTAATAAAGACGTAGCGGACACGATTATGTCCGAGAGTAGACCAACAACCATCAGACACAAATCAGAAACACAAGCAGTATTAAAAAATAGATAACTCACCATGATTCTTTGTTTTTACATAAAGAAAATAAGAATTGAAAAATCTGAATACATATGTCCTACAGAAGACCAAAAACCAGGTTATAGCACATTTCGAACGATCATACACAGATCAGAAACATATATTTTTAGGTTTCTCAGTACGTGTGTTGCTCTCTGTATTTTTTTGGTTTAAGATTTGAAAAAAACAACCCAACATGAATTGACAAATATATATGAATTAAGAAGTAATCCTTTTAGCGCACAAAAATAGCGCTCGTGTGTGCGTGCTTGGGTATGTGTATGCGAATGTGTGTGTGAGTGTGTGTGTGTGTGAGTGAGTGTTTGCGTGTGTGAATGTGTATGCGAGTGTATTAATTACTTTTATACGAATTGAAAAACCAAACAAAACCAAAAACTGCCACCAAGTAATCACACCCCCCCCCCTCCAACTTACCTCCCCACAAACTTCTCCCACGTTCTCTACCTCAGACGGCGAGTGAGTCTATCACGGCGGCGCCCAGCCATCTGTCAATTTATCACGGCTGGACACCCACTGACCATTGCAATCGGTAACAAGATGAGCCTGCTACTACACAGACAGGTGCCCTCTGTTACGTTCCTCCTACCTCCCGCATCTGAAGGATAGGTAGATATATAGAGCTGGACACAGGCTACGCACAGTTCCGAGTGATTGCTGGTGCAGTTGCAGTAGCTATATTATCATAGATAGATGCTGCTGTGTTTGCTGATGAGGTTGTAGTCGTTAAAGTGAGTGCGGAGGTTTTTATTCGTTTTTATGTTTTCGTAAACGTTTTACGGCACTTGCAACACCATTAGGTCATACAAGTGCAGAAGATTAGAGGTGTAACAAGAGAGTAACAAAAAGAAAAAAAAAACGTGGAGCGTATATAGTAAAGAAGGAGCAAACAACACCAGAGACACCCAGAGTGATTGTTGGTGTAGTTGTGGTAGCTGTACCTGAAGATGCTGTTGTTTGAAGGACGTTGTAGTGAGTGCGGTAATTTTAGTTTAGTTTGATAAAAGTTTTACGACGTTTGCTACTAACTGCATAAGGTCATATGAGCGTGCAGGACAGAAGTTGTAGTTTGTTTGTTACTGGTGTGTCAGTTTTGTTGCTGTAGCTGAAGCGAGGGGCACGACTACAGGCCATAGGACTTTGAACACGTCACTTTGAGACCCCCCCCTCTCTCTCTCTCTCTCTCTATCTATCTCTCTCTCTCTCTCTCTCTCACACACACACACACGCACGCACACACACACACACATACACACGCACGCACACATACACACACACACACACACACCCACACACACCCATACGCCCACAGACACACACATGCACTAGAAAACAGAAAACAAGATACACGAAAGACTAAAGAAACAGCATTAGCAGACATCATCAGAGGGCCGACCAACCACCCTCAAAGGTAACATCTAACAACGGACAAAACAGACAAAATTGTTTGTTTAGTATAGGGTTTTACGGCGCTCGCAACTGCATAAGGTCATATGAGCGTGCGGGACACACCTAATACTTTTTCGTTGGTAGGAAATTTTGAATTTTGCCCGGGTGGCGGCCGAAGCCTACTCTTATCGATTTTAGACCACCAA